ATAGTAACTCATCTAAATGGTACTAGCAACATGACTACGGGTAGTTTTAAATTAGGGATGTAACTACTGTTTCAAATCAAGGACATTTCAGGTTCTCCTTTCAAAATGCACAACCACCAACTCAATTCATTTCAACATCCTTTACAATGAAGCAAGCGCTACATTATGACACCCATGTCACTGTTTTGCTGTCCAAGAAACAAACACGTGAGTGTTATAAAATTAGTTGGGTATGCCCATTAATACCAGTCAAATGTGGAGAAAAAATTAACTTATTGGTCCTAAAGTAGATTTTAAGAAAGCTTGGACTGACTGAAAACACTTGTAAAATACGGAACTCTTAATATTTCAATTACATTATCCACAGATAAAGAGATTTTACAATCATAATATGATTAATGCCACTTCATTGTAATTTTAAGAGCTGGAAAACCTCTCTGAGTATTCTTTTCATGTTTAATATTGAAATGCAAATAAAACATTTAGCATAGGATTAAGCAGCTAACCCTTGCTGATCTCAATAACCCCACTGAAATTAATTAACATGACTAAGTTAGTTTCATTAACTTCAGCAGGTCTACCCCGAGTAAAATTTAGTTGTAAAGTATTTTTCATAATATATAATCACTCTGTAAAATAATACAACAGATTACTATGGTTTTTTTAAATGTCTTTCACAAAAGGCGTTGGCTTAAATTGATGGTTCTTCCTTTGCTGCATAATCAAGAATGCCAAGGGGTTTAATGGGAGTTGGTTTTGTATTGAAATCCAGGCACTGGGAAGAGGCCATTAAATTAAATCCCTTCTTTAAAAAGGTATACAGATTAGAGTTCTGAGTAAAACTTGAAAAGAAAGGCAGCCATGAGTATTTCAGGCATATTCAGCTACTGGCATCAATTCATTTATTTAATTTGCTGAGCAGTCACTCACAGCCTTCTTTGGCTCTGGCATTACATAGCAGTTCATCCATGACATTATAATCATATGTTATAGTCTGTAAATGTCCATTATGTGTTTTTTTTATTTTATATTAGTTAGATTTTTCTGACTTCAAAGTTAATAGTTTAGGACCTCATTTTGATTACATATAAAGTACACAATGCATTTCTACCTACATAACACTAACACAGAAATTAGACATTTATCAACACAAAAAAATAAATTGAAATTCATGGGCAAAAATGCAAAGCAACAGGTTTCTACCTCAAAATAGCAACAGGATCACTTATTACCAAAGGGAGCAACTGTGGAAATATATTTTGAACAGGGAACATATTTGCTGTCTTTGCCTTAATCCAAATGGTCTTTTGGTTTTCTTAGAATATTTGCAACAAACAAAACAGAAGCCATTAGTTAAAACATTATTGTTAGAGTGGTGATGGAGATATATGACGAAAGGATTAAAACAACTTTAGTTAAAATATAACTTTCCCCTCTCTTTTTCTATACCTCCTGTAATCATAATATTGTTTTAATGGTGCATTACTGAACAGAGGGGAAAATGGAGCATAAAGCCCAGTTACTTAAAGATGCTTCAAATTGCTGATGAGTTAAAACTAGATAAATGTGCAATCCCGCCTTAACAAAGTGAATGTTAATATTTTGATAGTAGGTTTTAGAATCATTTTCTTTTTTAAAAAAAGATCATGCATAACTATCATCCACAAGAGCAGGCTGATTTTCCCCCCTTAACATATTACAGCAGTAAAACTTTCACAAAACAGCTCTGCAAAACTTTAATAAAAACCTTATAAACAAACCAATAGTGCAAGAAAAATACAGTATAAATTTAGCTCTCTTTTCTTTTACCTTTGTCACACACTTTGCAAACAAATATTTCTCAGTCGCTTCAAAAAAATTAAAATTCAGCAGTCCAAGTAAACAAACCCAGTAAACAAAGCTGAAGGGCGAATTTTGCTTTCTCCCACGGTAGCAGTACTTCCAGCAGGTCTAGTCATTTCTTATCTTTCATCATTTGTAAAAGTTAACATATATGGTTTTAAATCCTGAATGTCAGCAACCATCCTAGTATCACAAACCAGCTACCACCTCCTTTGGTTTGTAAGCATGCAAGAAGCTGCAGAAAAATAAAGGGCAAAAAGGATGTAAAATACAGAGTTACTTCAAGACCCAGTGGCTGCAGCCTTAAAAAAAAAGAAGAATTAAATTCAGTCAGGCACAAAGGTCTCCATGGCAACTGTGAACAGAGCCCTCCCCTCTGCTATTATTTATGCAACATTTCACCACAAAAGGACCTTCCCATTAGCCTAACGGGAGCCCCCAAAGCTCTTTCTCCCCTGTAATCACATCCTCTCAATTTATTTAGACCCCCAAAATAAAAACTATATGACCTTTGGTTGTGGTAAAATAAATTCAGTTAGCCACTTAGTGCTCAATCTTCCCAGATAAAAAGTGCACTTTGAACCTTGCATAGAGTTTATATTTAATGCCATTTCTGATTTTGAAATTCAAGATGCCCATTTCACAAAGAAGCCGTATATTTGAATGTTGTTCGTTCTGCTGCACCACAACTACATGTGGTTAGAAAGTAAACCCTTGAAGAAAATCACGCTCAGGTATCAGTATGCAGTATTCTGGTAGCTAATTTCATACCTACTTATTCTTGCTGCTGGCATGTGAAACAGTGACACTTAATTTTATCTACCTTTATTACTATTCGGGGGCCAGGGAGGAATTTGCCTGCAGACAAATTAGGCCAGGCTAGGGGTTTTGCCTGGGGATGCAGGTGGCACTGTGGCAGTTCGAATACCAGCGACGGGGTGAGCTCCCATTGCTCGGTCCCTGCTCCTGCCAACCAAGCAGTTCGAAGGCACATCAAAGTGCAAGTAGATAAATAGGTACCGCTCCGGCGGGAAGGTAAACAGCATTTCTGTGCACTGCTCTGGTTCTCCAGAAGCCACTTAGTCATGCTGGCCACATGACCCAGAAGCTGTACGCCAGCTCCCTTGGCCGATAAAGCGAGATGAGCGCCGCAACCCCAGAGTTGGCCATGACTGGACCTAATGGTCAGGGGTCCCTTTACCTTTACCTAGGGTTTTTGCCTACCTCATAGCGACTTGCTGGTGGAAAAAAGCATTGTTTGGGATCCTTAGTTTAAACAAAGGAAGGGGGGTAGGTGGGAAGGAGCCCTACTCACCTTTTCATGAACCAAGTATCAGGGTACCCAGGTAAAGGAGTCCAGAGAGAAGGTTTCTGTCCCAATGCCCAGACGGGGCTAACAGGCTATAGAATTCCCCAAATGGGGGCCTGTAGGGATCACCCTATTGGATATGTGTTAATGGGGGTCCTTAGCCCAATATTGACCCTCGTGAAGTAATCAGCCAGCAATTGGGATAGTTGATTCAGGATACATAAAGGTCAAGGTAAAGGGACCCCTGACCACTAGGTCCAGTCGTGACCGAATCTGCGGTTGCGGCGCTCATCTCGCTTTATTGGCCGAGGGAGCCGGTGTACAGCTTCCGGGTCATGTGGCCAGAATGACTAAGCCACTTCTGGTGAACCAGAGCAGTGCACAGAAATGCCGTTTACCTTCCCGCCGGAGCGGTACCTATTTATCTACTTGAACTTTGACGTGCTTTCAAACTGCTAGGTTTGCAGGAGCAGGGACCGAGCAACAGAAGCTCACCCCATCGCAGGGATTCGAACTGCCGACCTTCTGATCGGCAAGTCCTAGCCTCTGTGGTTTTAACCCACAGCGCCACAGTGCCTATGTGAAAGCCTACTTGCATCTGTGCTCAATAAAGTTGTGGCCACTTTGATCCCAAGATGATGCTCCTGAGCTCGCAAGTGCAATAATGGTTTACCACTGCTTTAGAGCTGATTTGAATAATCTGCAATGCATATCTGACCTGCATTTCAGTTGCACAGTCTCCAGATGGGAATGTGTGTCAATACAAAGTTGCAGCATGACTCGTGCTCAGTGGGCCAAATTAGTCTGCATAGCTTGAGAAGGAAAAAGATATTGTGAACATCTGAGCAGGGGAAATCACACAAGTGAGCACTCGTCTACTCCAGTGTTGTGAGCACAGGCATGCTCACCTTGATCGTTCAAGCTTCTGCTTCCTTTTTCACCTGCCCAAAGGTTAAAAAACAAAACAGAACAAAAACAAAAACCATACGCTGGGACACAGGAAGAAGATGGGAATGTATCTAATGCCCAACGGATAATGTTTTCCTCCCAAGGGCTGCATCTGGGACGGTAAGACTCAGAATTCCCAATGGAAAACCAACATTCCATTTCTGCTGAAGAGAAGGCCCTTTGATTCAGCGCCCCCTCCTCCATCTGCAGTCCCCACCACACCACCTTCCATGCTATTTCAGACGGTCCTGCAGCCCTCTGGTGATGACTTGGGGGAAGCACAGGAGGGAACCTAGAAGCCACAACCTAAAAAGCACCATATTTCATAAGCAGAAATCCACCCATGGGACTCTGGATCCAACCCACCCAATGACTGTCCATTTGAGAAACTTGAGATGGGCTAGTGCTGCTGTTAAGAACATGAACTACAGTCTGAAAGACCACAACTCAACAACCCCCTCAAGTTGGCAATCCAGTATTTTTCTGTCTCCCTCCAGCTCCCTTCTCACTCATCATCTCCACTATCTTTAATACTAGGATAACAACTTCGTCTTAAATTATTAGTGTTTGAGAGATACTGCATTCATCTCACTTTTATGGTAGTCTGCAGGGAAGAGCACTACAACAACAACAATGAAGATAATGATGATTCTGGAAACGAGAGCACAGGATGCAACCATGTGGCTGGGGCCACATTGAGCTCCAAGGTAGAGGAAAGTCAGATTTATTTATTTATTTATTTATTTATTTATTTATTTATTTTGAAAACCCCACTTATTAAGGCTCTGAAATCTTCTAAGTGCTGTGCAGATATTAAAATATCTGGCTACCCTGATAAAACAAATAAAATTACCGTAGTACATTCCCATTCCATCTTTCTTTCAGTACTACACACACACACACACATACACACACACACACACACACACACACACATATATATATATAGAGAGAGAGAGAGAGAGAGAGAGAGTGTGTGTGTGTGTGTGTGTGTGTGTGTGTTATGGGTACTCTCCCAGGCTTGCACCTGATTTGCTGAAACAAGGTGCCTTCAAACTTTGCCTCAGGATAAAACTACATTTTCGTACAATGGCTCAACTTTGGTTGCCTGCAATATCATCATTAATAGTGGAGCACTGCAAAACTGAAGACAAAGAAAATGCACATCTTTCTCTGAATGATTTAATAAACACTGTATAATGCTTTGTTGGTGCTTGCAGCCACTGGTACATGCATATATTACAATAGGAGGTTCTGTTGTCTGCAGAAAAAAATGCTGATCCAACCTTTGACAACCCATATAGCCATATTTTCTGTGGGAGACATAAGGAGCAGTAATAATGGCTGCCTCATAAATGAAAAGTGACTCTGTATGCATAGTTTATAATTACTTTAGTGCAAAAGCAGCTTTTATGCACCCTTAACATTCATTCATGTTGCTGGTACAGTGTAATATACAAAGATTGAAATCCAGCATTAGCAAATCTGCAAAGAAAAAATGAATACGTTTTAAAATAGACTTTTATCTTATATAAGATAATATTGCTTTTACATTTATCGCTTTTCTTTATGTATGAAATGACAAGATGTCTCTGTAACCACAGTTTAAGTTAATGGCTTGCTCCAGAGATTAATTTTACCTTTGGAGATATGCTGTTACTTCATGTGAATAAAGTAATGTAAAATCTGGTGACAGAGCATGAAAAATGTACTTTCGATGAACTGATGTCCATATGAATCTGCTTAACATATCTTTGCCCTCAAATCTCAAGATACCATGTGCAGGCCTCAACAATGATCACTAGCATCCATCAAACCCTCCCCTGAGTCTGTCAGTAAACCAATGTCAATTATGGTTTGGCACTACAATGGGTTGCTCACCTACCCATTCTTTATCTTATGCTTCCACTTCACAGGGGTGTCTTTTTAAATTTTATTCGCAATTATACACTAAACCAAAATATGTTGCCCACAAGGATATGCAGGCTTTCTTAAATAAAACAAAACTACCTCACCTAGATGATCTACAAAAGCAAATGTTATTAGCACCAATATCAGAGACAAAAGTTAAACAAACTATCCTTAAAATGACAAGTGGCAAAACACCAGGACTGGATGGATTCCCTACTGAATGGTATAAAGCACACATAGATTTATTGCTACCAAAATTCCATCAATTGTATGATGAGATGCTTGATAAAGGTATTTTATCAACAATATTTAACCGAGTTTAGATCACAGTTATTCCCAAACCAGACAAGGATCACACAAAATGTGCAAATTATCACCCTATATCCTTGATTAATGTTGATACAAAAATTTTAACATCAACACTAGCAAATAGAATCCAACAGGTAATTGCGGCGGTTATCAAGAGGGATCAGACTGGCTTTATAAAAACAAGACAGGCTGCAGATAACATTAGATTAGTGGTAGATTTGGTTGACTTAAAAAAAGACCAGTTTGTAATCATATCATTAGATACCGAAAAGGCCTTTGATAAAATTTATAAATAGTATATGGAGTTAGCTTTAATCAAATTTAGATTTCCCTTGAAGTTTATAAAATGGATCAAAGTAATGTACAAGGCACCCATATCTAGAGTCAAAGTGAATGGTATTAGGTCTACCACCTTTCTGTTGGCTCAAGGAATCAGACAAGGATGTCCACTTTCACCCTTGCTTTTTAATATTTGTTTAGATGGCTAGCGCTATTATCCTACTGTTGGCCCCAATTTTTCAATGTGGGCAACCCTATAATATATGTACATAGCACCTTTGGTTGGTTGGACAATATTAGGATAAAAATATTTGAAATCTCAGGTGACTCTGGAAGCAATAAAATCACTTAGTAGCATAAGGAATAAAAACAAATTTGATCCATTTTTACATGCTAAACTTACTCTGTGGGGAAACCCCACACTAAGAATTGCAAAAAAGATGGTGATATGGAAAAATTGGATGGAAGCATGTGCATTGACATTGGACCAACTGATAGATGGGGGAAATGAATTTTATACTTTTACTGTTCTGAAACAAAAATATCATCTATCAGATGCAGCCCAATGACAATATATTCAATTACAACATCTCCTAGCAAGTGTGTTTGGGCTGTCAGCCCTTTCAGTTTCTGAGATACCTGAGATATTGGAGCAATTGGACAACTCATTCAAAAATAAAAAGCCAGCAATTACTTTTTATAGATATCTATTAACAATACACAAGTTCAATATGCAGACTGTAAGAGATGATTGGAAAATAGAATTGGAACTTTCGTTATTACCCAGACAGTGGGAAAATGTATTAGCTTCAATACCTAAGGTGTCATTAGATTTAAAATTAAGACTAATACAACAGAAAATAATATTTAGAGTTTATTGGACTCCTTTACGCTTGTATAAAAAAAAAGGGTCAGCTAAGATAGCTCAGTGTTGGAGATGTTGCAAGGAGAATGCCTCTCTGGAACACATGTTTGTACAGTGTTCTTTACTTAACAAGTTTTGGAAGAAAGTGCTCGACAGTGTAACTATGACTCTGCAGAAAAAGTTAAATCTTTCAGCAGAGAATATTTTATTGAACTATATGAAGAAGAAGAAGAGTTTGGATTTGATATCCCGCTTTATCACTACCCAAAGGAGTCTCAAAGTGGCTAACATTCTCCTTTCCCTTCCTCCCCCACAAAACGTGTTCTCCCTAGCAGAGAGCACGTGTTGCGGTGGGGGATACAAGCCACCCCAGTGTTGCTGGGGAGATTTGCGGAGTGACCCAGGCAGTGAATTGGTTAATTGGGTCGCTGGGGAGAATTGCTTTTTGCCAATTTTGAAGGAGGGGTCAGAGGTTTTAAATATTGGACGCCCAACTTTGGGTGTCCTCTTGGCTGCTTGCACCGGATCACCCACCCACCCTCCCTGTATTGGGGGGGGTTGTTCGCTTGACCTTGCTATGCCTGTCATGGGGTCATCTGCTTTGAGGCAGGGGCCTGGTAGGAATTTTGTCCATTTGGCTGATTGGCTGGTGCCATTTGGTTTTTGCCTACTGCGTAGCAAGCTGTCACAACTTGTAAGGTTGGCGGTTAGGCATTGGTTCAGATTGGTTGGTGGAGGGGTAAGTGCCTACCCCTCCAATGGTGGTGCGGAAAGGGAATTCCATTAAAGGAATCCAGGGGCTTGCCATTCTTTTCGTCCTTGTCCCTGGCATCGGACTTGGGCCGTGTAAGCCACCAGGAGCATGAGGGTGAGAAGTAAGGGACTGAGGCCCAGCTTCATTTTCTCCCCAAAATTGTTTCCCTCGCTGGCTTCTGCTGGAATCCAGAAGTCAGTTCTGTCCCTGGGCAAGGACAGATAGTCGGAACCAATGCCTAAGCAACCACTCACTTGTGTGTATTTAAATAAAGTTGTGGCCAAAATCTTGCCAAAAACCCAAACCAAAATTGATGTGTGATGTGTGAATTATTGGGGACCTCGACACACAACTAACACTGTGTGAGGTGAGTGGGGCTGAGAGACTTCAGAGAAGTGTGACTAGCCCAAGGTCACCCAGCAGCTGCATGTGGAGGAGAGGAGACACGAACCCAGTTCACCAGATTACAAGACTACTGCTCTTAACCACTACACCACACTGGCTCCCTGCAGGATGGAAATTATCAACGGGACAATGGAAATGGGTTTTCTGTGCCCTAATGGTGGCCAAGAGATTGATATTGAGGAATTGGAAAAATAAAGATATGATGCCCTTCAATCAATGGACTGATGATATGACATCCCAGGCAATTTATGAATGAACTGCTTACAGGCGCAGACTCTGTATGGATAAATACGATAATATTTGGAATGAGTTTATACAAAATGTAGTAGGCTATTAGTATTTACATAAGTACCAGGACAATAACACTATACCAATTTATACAAGAATGCAGTGGGTTTTTCCTGGGAGGACGCATTTTGTGAATCTTTGTACTTTTCTCCATTTACTGTATTTATTTTCCCCGATTTTAACTATAAAATGGTGATTTTTCTTGAGTCAAAATGAGAGTACCTCTAAACATTTTTTTTTAGGAAAAAAGCACTGCAAGAATGTATGGGAATATTGTATGTTGCTTTTTCTTTTGTGCATATTTTCGCTTTTATATATATCATCGTTGTTGTTGTTGTTGTTGTTGTTGTTGTTGTTTTTCTCCCTCTCCTTTTTTTTTGTATCACTATATTTTTTTTCACTGAAATTTTATTTATTTATTGAATTTATACACCACCCTACACCCGGAGGTCTCAGGGTGGTTCACAGAAATCACCTTAATAAAATATAAATATTTTAAAACAGGGGTGTCTTAAGTAATGGAATAAATTCACAAAGCAGAAAGGTCAGCAGTACTATTCCTTAATTCAGTGTATCACTAAGAGGCAAATGACATACAGGTAGGTGATCTGGAAACATCAGAATGGAATCAGATCTGCTTAGATGTAAGCATGAGTTAACAATACACCAGGGATGATCAACTTCCCCATAACCGCCAACCTTCTGATCGGCAAGCCCTAGGCTCTGTGGTTCAACCCACAGAGCCACCCACATCCCAACTTCCCCATATTTGGGGCCAAAATTATTTTCCAATTAATGGACTATGGGCAGGAAACATACTTTGTTGCAGTCAACCCACATATGTTGCTGGGCACCATAATATAGTATGGTGCCATCTAGCAACTGGATTGCACATAATGCTAAGCCAAACCATGGCTTAGCTCACAGCAACACAGGAGCAGAATCAGAGAAGGAGCCAAGTGCCCAGGATATCCTCTCTGGGAATGTATGTGTCTGCACTAAACTATAGTTTGGCTAAGCATTAAGTGCAAGCCTGCTCTAGCAATAAGGGCTTCATAAACTTTTCTCAGCAACCAAACCTGAAATTAATGTTGCTGAGTGAATGCCACTCCCTGTGCCTTTCCTACCCCTTTTAATACTGTGAGGCTGTAAGGAAGTGTTAGGAATGGCTGCTGTTTAATTCCTGTGACG